AACACACACGCACGCACACACGCACGCACACTCATACAAACACACACACACACATATATATAATAAATAATGAAAAACATATATAATTAATAACAAAAAATATATAATAAATAATAACAATTATACATACATATCGCGATATATCATGACATTTATATCATGACATATCATATATCATATTGGACGTAAAAATCGCGTTTATCTGTTGATAAGAAGGCAAAAGAATGTGATTTATGACACTTTGCCTCCAAATCTGATATGGACGAACAAAAATTATTTTATAAGCATAAAAATATTTATAATTATTATATTAAGTAGTTCGGGAGAGGCGAGAGAGAGAGAGAGAGAGAGAGAGAGAGAGAAGGAGAGAAAAAAAGAGAGAAAAGTAGAGAGGAAGAGATAATTAACAAGAGAGTGAAAAGAGGTGTAGAAATTTGTCCTGTATATATATATATATATATATATATATATATATATATATATATATATATATATATATATATATGCACAATTGCACATCATACGCTAATATAAAACCATAAAACCTCAATCATATTTGCACTAATTTTACTTACGCACATCAAATATGGCTAACAAGCATTACAGACAAATATTTAAGCGCCTGGAATGGTACAAACACACACACTCACACTTTTTCTCCCATTCTCTCTATTTCTTTCTCCCTCTCTCTCTCTCACACACACACACACACAAACACACACACGCATGTACACACGTACAGTCGTACACAGATACAAGCAGACAAAAGACGGACGTGAATGGCCTACGAAATGCAGTTGAACAATAAAGCGCGAGAGATGACATGCGATCGGAGCATAAAGAGAAAACAAAAAAATCAATCTCTCAATCAATTCTCCTTAGGCTTTAACAACTATATTCATTCATTCGTGTCGATACACGCACATAAACACCATACATACGCACCACACGCGCACACACACGCACGCACACACACATGCACACGCACGCACACACACCATAGTTTATGCAATATCAAAATATACACATTTGAAGTAATGAAAGTATATAAACATCATTATTATGTGTTAGACGCAAATAAACAAACATGCATACACACCTGTCTACAACACACGTACACACACTTACACACGTACATAAACACACACCAAACCAAAAATTTTTAAAAACACAATAAAAAATATACATACAACCAAATACAAACGCAAAAAACATACATACAAACGTTTTTATACTACATACACATACAAAAAGTAAACACAGACGTACACATAAACGTACACATAAAGTACACAGAGGTATATGCAAATTAATGTACGCATATGGTGTACACTTGTGTGTATGTGCGTGCATGTATGTGTGCACTCATTCCTAGAAAGTAACATGTGTATGTTACCGTGAGAAGTTACAAAGACGACGACGACGACGATGATGACTGATTAAGGTGATTGCCATGATTATGCTGATTACGATGATGATGGTGGTGATGATGGTGGTGATGATGATGACCGTCATAAAAATATAACGCTAGAAATGGTTTATTATACAAAAAATGATGATTATTGTATGATGATGATAATGATGATAATAATAATGATGATGATAATAATGATGACGATAACGATCATGATGACGATAATGATGATTATCGTTTGATGATGATGATGACAATGATACTGTATAACTTCTATTAAAATTATGAGTTTTTTTGATAATATAAATGCTAATAGGAATAATAGTGATGACGGCGAAGACGATAACTCAAAAATGATTAAGTTGTCAAGTTCAAGGTCAATAATATGAATATGACAATGAGGATGACAATGAGGATGATGGCGACATGATGACGACGACAATGATGGTGATGGTGTTTAGAAGGAGTGGGATGATCGATATAGAAAATAGAATAAATTGTTACGTCATGATGATGGTGATGAAGACGACGATGAGGTTATTACTGTTGATGGTGATGATAACGACGACGATGATGACGACGACGAAGATGATGATGTCGATGATGAAATTATTGTTGTACTCATGCTTGTGAGTATGAGTAATGTAAGTATAAATACTCGTTGAGTAAATATAATCTTTGCATTATTACTAGCGTTTTTAGTACAGTTTTATAGTAATCCTTAAACGAATTATTATTATTGTCGGCTTTTAAAATCATCCAAATCATATGAGTACTACTGGATTGAAATGAAGAACAAACTCGGCTTTAGCTATTGACATCAAAGTAAAATAAAAAATTATAACACAACAATAATTATGATTTAAAATTATTCGAATTCAAACCTTAACCATCGGTGATAATAATTAACAATGTAACATTATGCTGAATAAAGATAAGGAAGACGACGACGATGATGATAATGAATATAGGATGACCTGACAGATGGCGATGATGACGACATCAATGATGATTTTTCACATTTATAGTGACAATTAAGATGTCAGAAGTGATAACAACGATGACGTTGATGATGACGATAAGAACTATAACGTTAACAAAATGGCAAGGTGCTTGATTTCGTAGCCAGCAAACTTCACACCAACAAAATGACGGACCCGCCGGTGCTCTTCGGCAGAGCGTTCTGTGTACTCAGAGAGTACTCACATACGATATTTGTGTGTTGTTGATTTCTCCGAACCTAGAAAGGGTGCAATCGACCTTTAACCTTTGACCTTTTTTTTTAAGAATCTTGATTCATTATCCAACAAAATGACAACGACAACAGACAAATCAGTATTAAATAAAATTAATCAAAGCCATTGATTACTAATATACTAATAACAACGTAAATAAAAACAACAATAACAACAACAATAACATCATCATGATATCAACGTCAGCAGTGACATCAACAAAAAACACAGAAAGAGCAATCACATTAATCAAAAAATAAAAACAACAACAAATTGGCAACGATATAGACAACATGGACAACTTTAAAAAAAAAAATAACGTCCAACAACCAACCAACAACGACAACAACGACGACGACAACAAAAAGGAAGAATAACAACAACAATAATAATAAACTAATAATAATAATAATAATAACAACACGAACAAAACATCGTGGGAATGCTTGGCCGAATGCTTTCAGACACTAATCTTTTTTTAAAAATAGATCTCGAGAACAACACCAAGAGAAATTGATTTAACACTATTATTATGATTATTATTATGATTATTATTGTTATTATAATTATAATAATAGTAATTATAATCATCGTTATTATTATTGTTATCAGCCAATTACTAACCGGGTTTACCGCCAAAATGGAAGTTTAAAAAAAGCGAAACAAGCATGAAAGCAACTAAACACCACACACAGAGTACATACGCACGCACACACACGCACGCACACAGATAGACACTCTCTCTCACACGCACACACACACACAAGCATACACACACACACACACACACAGACAGATACTCTCTCTCACACGCACACACAGACACACTCTCTCTCACACACACATATATAATGTATATAGGAGCGTGTGTATCCCAATAACTTTAAGGTCGGATTATTAATGCCAGACCTAACCGGACCGCTGCCACAGAGCCTCTGTAAAAATGGTGCCACCACAAAAGCATGACAAAAATTTAACATTGAAATTAATTAAAGGGTCTTCACAAGAGCAATATCGTAAAACGACGTATTTCTCCGTTTAAAAAAACAAAAGTAAATATGTGGCCAACTTAATTTTACAATGTTGATACTACAGATTATACAAATTAAGAAACCCCTTTTGAATATTTTGGGTCCTCCCACTTTTACACCGCCCCTGCCGTCACCATGCAAATGATCCCCATGATCAGCAAAAATAATTTTCCGTAACATCATCATCGCAACCAGATTTTCGTTCTTTTTAAACCAGTTTTGAAATTTAGGAAGAGCCATACAAATCACCGACAAACCAACCGCGTAAGTTATTGTTGCCCCATTGAATGGGAATTATCGGATCGTAAAAAATGTAATTTGGAGACACCACACACACACACAAACACGTACACAAATTATATTCATGTATGACACACACACACACAAACACACATTTACTTTGGTACGAACACAATTTATTGTCATTATAACTAATTTGTGTGAAAAAATTCGGCCAAAATGTACGCAATTATTAACACTCTTATTAATATCATTATTTAATGTTATTATTATTATTATTAATTTTATTATAATTACAATAAATATTTTTGTTGTTAGTATTATTTGAGGTTGAAATATAGAAGGATGATTGAGTGATGACTACGTATTCTCATTAGCAATGAAACATTTCTGTCATTAAAAATTTAATAAATAAATAAATAATAAACAAACCAAAAATAAATAAATAAACCAAAAATAAAAATAATGTTAATAAGAATAACAAACTATAAAAAGTAAAAAGTTATTTTTTTTATTTTTACGAATTTTTCAAAAAATGTATTCACATCCACCTTGGGATTGTTGAATTGGGAGATCGTCGTCGTCTTCTGAGTTGTTAGAACGGAAAATTGCTGAAATGAGATTGGAAACAAAACTTTTTCAATCAAATTGCTAACAAGAATCATTAAATTGAAAAATAATTAAAAAATATTATTTATGAAGATTATTTTATATCAAATAACTAAAAAAAAACCAAAAAAAACTGAGATGAATTCGCCAAAAGAGTATCTTGAAATAAAATGACCGTGTGATTAAAACGTACGTAAAACTTCTGAAAGAAATACTCAATCAATGTTCGTCAGTGTATTACTGCTTTATACGAGGTATTCAAACCAAGACTCACCACACACAAACGCATCACCACACACACAAACTTAGCGAATAAATATGTGTAATTCAAGGCCCATAACATATGACGGACTGAGTGGGATATCTCTGTATTCGAACACGGTCACTGCAGCAAAAGATCCAGCGCCTCTAACCATTACACCATTTGACATAGCATGTATAATACACAAGGCAAACTACATAATATACAACCTACCTGATCTTAGAATGGTTAGTCGAGGTAGGTTGGGCCAGTTTGTAACGTATGAGGAACGATGATAATCTTTCTGCTACCTGCTCAAATGTTCGTGAAATAAATTTTCAATAAATAAAATGCGGAAATTAAAAACGCGAAAAAGTAATAAGTATCGGTGGTCAATAAAGAGAAATAACGTCTCTATAACAATAACAACATCATCAAGATGTAACGACAAGAAATCAATAACACTAAACTATAATACACACGACCTCAACAAAAACAACAACAGACCATCACCAATAACAACAACAGACCATTAACAAAATCAACAACAGACCATTACCACCACCACCAACAACAGACCAACAACATCAACAAAAACGAGACCTTGTCAGGGCAGTCTTCGTGTACGGCGTGCCCACACTGGGGCAGCAGTTCCAACTGAAATTTGCCTGCAAAGAAAATAGCAAAAGTAAAAACAAGAAATAAGGAGAATAATAAAAAAAATAGTTAACACGGTAAAACATTGCAACAAAAACAAACAACAATAATAATAACAATAAAAAATAAGAATAATAATAACAACCCTGCATTTGTCCTATGGTTAAATCTTTGTCCAACCTATCAACGCCTGGTGAGAAAGAAAAAAAATTGGAAAAATTGCATGAAAATAATTTTTATTTTTGGCAATAACATCAAAAATAATAATAACATCAACAACAACAATAATAGTAATAACAATAATAATAATAACCAGCCAATAGGAGCATTTTGGGCGGTTTACAGGCCAGAAACATTGTGGACAGTCCTTCGAACCAGCCTTTTATAAATAATTTCGATCTAACTTTGAGAACCAAATTTTTAATATTCATCAACGAAAATGTTTGAAATATATCCTAATTTAAGTTACGCCTTGAAGATTATCTCAATTTTTATTATAAATTTTGAAATTAAAAGATAAAAAATCTTCTTTTTAGAGGCATAATGACGTTTAATGATTAAAATAAAGAGAAAAATAAGAAAATTATTATTATTTTTATTATTATTACCACCACCTTTCCAGTAAGGTTCAGTGGTTGTCAGATCAATCCTCCAGCAGTATTTTGCTCTCAATAATGACGACGACGACGACGAAGATGATGAAGCTAGTGACGTTGCTGCAGTTTTCTGAACACAGGAAGTTGTAACAGCATTTTGATCATCATCATTATCACTATCTTCAACATCATCACTATCATCGTCATCACATCACCATCACTAACATGACCAACATAAATATGAATCACAATTGATAACCATAGTTCGAGATTTCACATCATCGTCCTTATCAACATGTGCATCACCATCATCATCCAGGTGATGTCGATGTTTTTGTGGTCTTCTACTCATCACATCTTCATCCTCCTCTTCCTCTTCAGCAATGACGTCACTTTTGTGAATGATGACCTCTGAACTCTGACCCATGGAGTGACTGGCTTCAGAGGTAGCTGTTTCGTTTGTGTCGATCCTGAAGTGTGTGTGCCAAAAAAAATTCACAAAGACGATGATGAAAGATGACGAGATGATATGGTGGTGATACAAATAATGATACCATAGAAGATGATAATGCCGATGATGATACAAATAATGATACTACAAAAGATGATGATGCCGATGGTGTGATGATGATACAAATAATGATACTACAGAAGACGATCTATGGAAATGATAGTGACAATAATAATATCTTGGAAAATGTTAGCTAGTTGACAATAGTAAAACATGCAAATGATAATGACAAAAGTGATAACAAAGTCGACTGATCAACTTTTATTTGTATCATCACATCATTGCCATCATCGTCTTTGTAAAAAAAAAGTTGAAAACTATTGAGCTACATTCTAGCTCAGGCTAGTAACGTAGCGAAAATTCATTGATGAGATAGATCAGCTACTCAAAAACATGCTGCTGGAGTGTACAAGTGGGTTTGGAAGTGATGTTTTATTATTTGACAGCATAATAAACATTGGAGCGCCTCTGAAGTAAACTCATAAGAAGCGCTATACAAATTCTTCAATACAATACAATACAATACAAATTCTACAATACAATACAATACAACACAAATTCTTCAATACAATACAACACAAATTCTTCAATACAATACAACACAAATTCTTCAATACAATACAATACAATACAAATTCTTCAATACAATACAATACAATACAATACAAATTCTTCAATACAATACAATACAATACAAATTCTTCAATACAATACAATATAATACAAATTCTTTAATACAATACAAAATTCTACAATACAATACAAATTCTACAATACAATACAATACAAATTCTTCAATACAATACAATACAATACAAATTCTTCAATACAATACAATACAATATAATACAATACAATACAAATTCTTCAATACAATACAATACAATTGTAAGTCTGTAGAATTAATAAAAATAAAAATTCATTGGCAGTGGCGGTCCAGGTCATAGCAATTAAATTCAATAGCGGTCCGCGGGACTAAAAAGTTCACGGAGCTCTGACGTAGACGATGACGTCATTAAGATGACGTCCGTATTATTTAACGACGGGATGAATGATGACGATACTAATGAAAGGAATGATAACAAAATGATGAGAGTGACGTCATTAAATGCTGTCACCTTTTTAACTGACCAATCACGGAAACTTTTGCAGATTCTATGTTCCTTATCTGACCTGTTTTGCAACTTTAAAACAATTAAAAATAAAATGAAATGGTATTTATATAGCGCCGACAAGTGAAAACAATAACAACAACATAAGAAATGAAATTGAAATAAAATAAACAACAATCAAATTAAGAATAATACTAAAAAGTAATAATAAAGCCCCTACCAGTATTCAACAGCTGATTCGATGGAGTCAAATGTTGACGGTCTATTCCTCAGGAACGTCTGCATGCCTGATAATGCTTCCATGGCTGTTCCTAAGTGATATTAGATTTTATCAACCAGCCAACCAAACCAACCAACCAACCAACCAGCCAAATAACCAGCCAACCAACCAGCCAACCAACCAACCAACCAACCTTCGACAACATCGATGACAATGAGACCAACCAGATAGCTGACTGTTTGTTTGTAAGCAACATGTACTGCTATAGCCCCTCCCATGCTAATGTCAATCACGTCAGTCAAAAAGGAAATTGTTTTTTTTAATTTGATGACGATAATAAGAATGAGAATGATATCAAAATGATGACAATGACGTCATTATTATTGACGTCAATGAAACTACATGTTAAGTTTTAAATTAATCACTTGATGCAATCTATAGTAACCAAACGACCTGACCCATATTTAAACAAATAACTTGACCTATTTTCAAACAAATGAATGACATATTTTTAACCTGTGTCCAATGAGAACAATTGGAGGTATGTCCTCACCATACAATGCATACACAACTCTTCCAACATCACTTACGTAATGAAGTAAATAAAAATATTTAAGAATGATTTAATAAATTAATTAATTATCAATTAATTAATAATCTGAGCTAATTTTTTCAAAGAAAATTTATTTATTTCAATATGACATAGGTTTATGATAATTCTATCACATGAGATGTTCAATTAATTTTTTAATGAAGATAAAATTTACATACAAGACCATTTCACCTTTATAAATACAAATAAAGATTAAATAGCAGTAATAAAAATAATTATTTAAAATTATTATTGTTTTAAAAAAAACATATTTAAATGAAATAAATTTTGAAAAAAAAACCAACTTAGCCATAACATCAGCAGAAAGATCAGCCTCATTGCTCGTGTGAGTGTCGCCGTGCCCTCGAAAGTCCATTGCCACACATCTGCATGTCACTGATTCTAATAAATCTTTCTTTGGAGTTGAATTTTTAAAATGGATTTTTAAAAAATTTTTAAAAAAGATATAAATTTGAATGAAAAACTACAATGAGAGAAAATAATGGAAAGTCACATAGATATATAATATACATAAATCAATAGTATAATCAATATAAAAAGTTATGTGCTTATTTAGTCTTTCTTTGGTGTGTTAGTAAACATTCACATAACAATAAGAAGCAAATTAATTAATATTATTTAGTTATAAGCACTTGCAATTCATTCATTTAAAATTAACTTGTCAAAAATTGTACATTTTGACATTTTAATCAGGCTAACAAATCACTATTTATTCAATTATTTATTGATGTTATTAGAATTAAAAACGAGAATGATAAAAAATAAAAATGATGTGACTAACAGACAGGACAGCCCAGGAGAGAGCCGAAAAACCACCACCATGAAGGAAAAAACAAACAGGACCAGACGATCCGGAGAGGTAGACCCTGAAGATCTGTCGAACAACCAATCACAATACAATAATAATCATTAATGTAGTCAGTTCAGCTTTAGCTGTTAGCAGAAATTGGTTGAATGATTTTCAAAATTTCAGTTTAATAAAAGTTAATAAATGGATTTAATTACGTCATCGTCAATTTTGAGATCTCTGCAATCGTCATAATAATTCTCCCACGAAGATAAAGTAAAATCCCTTCGACTGTTTCTGCTGCCTGAACCTGAACTAACTTTGAAGGGTCCCGGTGGCCTTGGGGCAATGAGTAAATGAATGAATTTTTGAGTAAAAAAGAAAAATCAAGGTAAATAGTAATTAATAAAAAGACCTGGCCATTAAAGGACCTTTCGGTGTGAGAACTTTCCGTCCCAAACTTCCCGATGACATTTCTTTCTCAGTTTCAACTTTCAATTTAAAACTTTTTAAATGGTTAAAAGTTAAAGTAAATGTGTAAAAGTGAATAGTTTAAAAAACAAATTAAAATTTTTTTATATTAAAAATTTTATATTTAAATATAAATAAGTGTTAAATATTATATGTTAAATTACACAAAATTATATAAATAAAAAATTATTTTAAAATAAATAGCAAAATATTTTATTTGTTATTTCTTTGTGTTTGCCATCTTTCTTTTTTCCTGATATTTTGACTGAACGTGGTTAATCCATTTTTTAACCAAAAAAGTAAGTTTTAACCTGGTTTATCGCTTACATAAATCGTTTTCCATATTTTTTTGTTTTTCTTTTTTAGACAAGTTTTTAAAAACTGTTTTTAATAATTTTTGCCGCAGATGAGATACGTAAGCGCGTACTTGCTGGCTCGTCTGGGTGGTAATGAAAATCCGAAAGAAGTTGATATCAAAAAGATTTTAAGCAGCGTTGGAATTGATTCAGATGATGCCTTGGTCAAGAAGGTCGTCAGTGAACTATCCGGCAAAAACATCGAAGAGTTGATCGCTGCTGGTAAATAGTCTTTAATTTAAAATGCTTTTTATTAAATTAAAATCTGATCATTGTTCTTTTGTCTCATCTGATGGCCAAAGTTACAAGTAGGAAAAATTTGAGTAGAAGGCATTCAAAAAACAGGATTTCAATAATGATTTTTAAGTTTTTGTTTCATGCCCTTTGTCTTAAAAAAAAAACTAGTTTTTTTATAATAGTTGGTATTTGATTATAATTATAGTACAAAATGATTTGCAATAGAGATCTGAAATGGAGATTGCTTTTATGAATTTCAGTTATTTGTACTATTTATTTTTAAATGTGATCAGACAGTTCAGAAGTTTACAAAGCTGATTTTAAAACATCACAAAAATTCAAATCTATAATGAATCATGTGCTCATAATGTTTTTATTGTAATTTAAGGCAGAGAAAAGTTAGCATCAGTACCATCTGGGGGAGCTGTTGTTGCAACAACTGCTAGTACCACTGCTGCTGCCCCTGACAGCAAAGCTGCTGAACCAGCTAAAGGTAAATTATATAGTGTTATGTAAAAATTTCACAAGTAATTTCTGTATTATTTATTTCATAACTAAGCTTCTCAATTTTTCTAACAAGTTTCATGGTCATTTTCGAGTTTGAAAATGTATATGTAAAATTCTTTTTGTTTCATTGCATATATATTTCGTAACAAGTTTAAGAGATTTGTATTAATATTAATTTTTAATAGATTTATAAGAAAACAGAATACTTTTCTAGTTTTGTTAACTTTTTTTAACAAATTGATATTGAAAACACTTACTACAGCTAAAGAAGAAGAGAAGAAAGAAGAATCCGATGAAGATGATGGAGATATGGGATTTGGTCTCTTTGATTAGAAAGGCTCAGCATACATTTAGTGCTCCACTTAATGTTTCTCACCAACTACTCTAAGTGTTCTTGTACAATCTCAAACCAATCCTCTACTGTTGCTACTACTACTAATGACCTCAAATTTGCATGCCTTTCTTAATGTTTTTATAATTTTTTTACTGTGCTGAGTTCAATTTGTTACATGGTTTGATACAAAAAAAAAAATGTTTGATGTAAAATATCATCTTTGAAACAACATTGTTGGCATTTTTAATTAATCAAAAATAAAAAAAAGTACCAATACGCAAACATGCAATCATTAAAAGGTATAAAGCTACTGTCTTGTCGAAAAATTGAGCCAAGTAAAACGTCAGAAAATTAGCTTAAAAAGTGAATAAGAGTTAAGTCCTCTTCCAGATACAGACGAGGTTGCAATCAGTAACTGCCACAATGTACGTTCTTTCATGACTTGATGTCAGATTGTTGATAACTAAGATCTGAAATTTAGCAAATTTTATCAATCATTTAGATCAGCAAAATTAGAGTTTTGAGTTATAAAAACTGAAAATTTTGGAAAAAAAAGCGGCCCACTGTTGGTTTGTCCAGGACGTCTGTCATCTTGGCGTCATTTGAATTCTCCATGTCTACTTTACAGTCAGGCCACTGCAGCACCTGCCGGTTCCATCATCATCATGGTAATGGTGAATGAGGAGAAATTGATGATTGAAATTTTGCTGTTGAAGTGGAATGTGACATGTAAGACTGACCTTGGGAATGAGCTTATTGCCTGCGTTCTGGAGATGTGATGTATTATACATCCATATACTTCCATCATCTGATCCACACAACAGAAGACCTTCAATTTAAAATGCGAATTCAATTAATTAAAAATTTAAACTGATGTGAAAGTGTCCTCATTAATTATTTCACACAAGTCAAACTGACCATTAACACACGAGAGTCCGATAAATTCGGAGTTTGTTTTCAGCCAGTCAAGTTTGTAGGCGGGTCCATGATCGAGATGATTGACATTGTACACGTATATGCAGCCGTGTGACAGGAACTTGCACGCTTCACAAATTTATAACGCATAATGATGTATAATTTATAATGTATGATGAGTTGAATTGTATTAAGTTTCCCCCATGAAACACTTCAAGAGAACGGGTAAAGATTGAATTAAGTACTCTTGAATAATTGCACTTTTCTAAAAAAAGTTTTTATTAGAAAATGAGATGCACTCACCAAAAAAGTTATCGTTAATAGGAGTTAGACCATCACATGTTGACATCTTGCCCTTCATCTTGTTGTTGATTGACAATACCTTGCATGGATTCCTACGAAAAGGAAACTAACAAATTCATACAAAACGAATTAAATAAAAAACTATTAGCAATGAATTGAATCAGCGAGCACCAACTCGTCACATTTCACTCAAATTTGACATTATTCACTCACCTTCTTTTGTTACTAGCGATGTCTGAAACGTTCAAATTTTTTCCAAGTGACCAAGCCATCACTCCGCCAGTTGTACCGCCAATCAACAACCCTGACGTCTGGTGGACGAAAATGTTGGTGACCAGTGAAGCAGGGTTCGTTAGAAAAACCGCTAACTGCCTGAAATTAAGGTCACATTCAGATTTTCTCAAAAAAAAAAGAAAAAAAATTTCAAACGATATTGATTAATTCAGGCAAACACGTGTATAACATAAATTGCTGTTGAAAATATGCGATTGCAAGAAATAGGAGCAGTACCAAAAATAATAAATGACAATAAAAAGAATGACAATAACTTGACGTCGGTATTAAGTTGTGGTCCTGAAGGCTGTCCAATGTCAAATAAGGTGATGGTGGTGTCCGAAGATGCACCTGATTTAATCAATTAATCAATTAATCAATCAATCAATCAATCAATCATTCTATCAATCAGTCAATCATTTAATCAATCATCCAAAGTTTCATAGTTGATTTATTATCTAAAACAACAGAAATCCACCACTAACAAAACAGAAGGGTTCTCATGAAAGGATGAAACACAAGTGAGGAGTAATAGAAGTCAGTAACGGACCTATTAGGTCGACCTGACCCAAACTCTTCAAAACAAGCAAGGAGACGTGGATGTAGAAGTTTTAGGTTACCATTGTGACCTGAATAAATGAATATATAAACTAATAAATACATTCATAAATGGATGACAAAATATTTTTGTTTATATAAAGATAGGTAAATAACTTTCATATATGTAATTATCATATCACAAGATGGTACTAATGCAAAATGTTTTTTGATAAACTTTACAATTTAAAACCAATTTTTCATTGATAAAACAACAATTTATCTATCAAATATACAAACTTTAAAACTTATTTTCATCAATAAAACAATAATTAATCAACTTATTTATCATAAAATCACCGACCAGAAACAGCAAGTATGTTGTTAGGTTCGTTGTTGAGTTCTACAGTGGTCCAGGCCAAGCAAAAAAATTGCTAGAAGAAATTCGACCATATCATGTTAATTCATGGATTGTCTATAAACATCATATACAAATTATGAATTGTATATAAACATCATATACATATTATGAACTATCTATAGACATGATATACATATTATGAACTGTCTATAGACATGATATACATATTATGAATTGTCTATAGACATCATATACAAATTATGAATTATCTATAGACATCATATACATATTATGAACTGTCACGAACTTTCAGCAACTGACCTCTTTATGGTGTTCGAATCTCTTGACAACCTGGCCAGAACTGCAGTCTATTAGGCAGACCATCGTACCTCCACAGGTTGCAACTATACCGGTAGTCTTGGCTACATTGAATGAATGAATGAATGAATGAATACATAAATGAATTAATTAGTGAATATAAGAATGAATAAATGAATGAATAAATGAATGATTAAATACACATGATTGAATGAATGAATGAATTAATGAATGAATATAAATAAATAGATAAACAGATGAATAAATTAATGAATGATAACAGAAAAGACATTGCAAGTGAACTGTCCTTATCACAAATCGACACTTTTAAAGTTTTAACTCTTTCAAATTTGTTAAAAAAATCATTAAAGCAAAAATTAAAAATGAATATTCATTTCAAATTCCCACCAGGATCGTGTGGATCAGGCTCCATGCTGCAGCCCCAGACGTTAGTTAACTCGTCAGTGGGGTCATCAAGGGTGTGACCTTCCTTCAGGGCCCTCTTATCACCCGAGTGACATCTCAGGAAGTGCATCGGCTGGTATTCTGTAGTGTCTAAATCATCAAATGTCTGCCATGTGCAAAAAATGTACGAAAATATTACAATGACGGATAAAAAAGAATTTATGTCGCAGTAATAGAAACTCAACAGTCATCTAGTTGTAAAACACAAAGTTTGTTAACATTTAAAAAAGTTAAATAATTTTAACAAAAATAGTAATAATTTGACCAACACCTTGCTTGAATGGGCAGAAGAAACATTAGAGTTGAAGTTGAGCTTCTTGATGCAGTCAACTGCTTGTTTGGTTGGACTGAGAAGAGAATTTCCCATATGAACATCCGACCTCCGACTACTTTGACCAGAATATGCAGGGCTATTCTTCAAAACTTCATCATTTTGAGTGTGTGAGAGTTTGTGTGGGGTTGTGCTCATATTACTACTGTCATTGTTTTTTGGACTGGTTAGCTTTCTCTTTAGACCGCCAATAATATTTTCAGTATTAGCTAATGACCTTGTTGGACTTTTCAGAGGTGAACTACCAAACAGATACTTCGCTGAATTGAGACTCTTTCTTGGACTAGTTCGTGACGTTTCAGGTTTTTTGGTCAGACTTCTTGGACTGACAACCTTTCTACTAGTTGCCTTGTTAACTTTCATCAGATCAATAGCATCTTCCAGGCTCAATTTTTCTTTGAAAGGACTAGTGAGAGATGTTTCTTGTAGTGATTTGTTGGCCAATTTTGAATCATTGTTTTCAAAGTTTAAAACTTTTCTCACCTTGTTTGGAGTTGTAACACTTGCACTAGTGTTGATATAACTACTGTTGATGTTGTTTTTTGGACTGGTCAAGCAGCTTCTCCTTGGACTTTCAACAATGTTTGCAGGACTTACTATTGATCTTGCTGGACTTCTGAGAGGTGAACTGATGATTACTGGCACCTTATCTGTAATTTTTATCCTAATTTTCTTCACTGGTGTTTGATTTTTCAGTACAGCGTTGGAAAATTTATTTGATAGAAGTTTCTTCAAGAACTGGTCGCAAAACAATTTGATCTGCATGTTGTTAAAGTTTGTTAAGCTTTACCTTAAATAATTAATCTATAAAAATTATAAAAAATGAAATTTGGACAAATATACAACTTGAACATTAAAAATTAAAAGTAAACTGAAATCTAAATACATGAGAATAACATGTTACCAAAAGATCTTTAACAGTGGAAGGAAGGCCTGGTACAGAAGGCTTTGCAATCCTTATCAGTTTCAGTAGTTTGTTTCTCACCTCAAATGTTATGTCATCTGCAGTGGATTTCGCAAGATCAACGTGATCAAAATGTTCTGACCAGATTTGTGATACCTTTGTGTAAAATAATATTTTATATTGCAATAATATTTTAAATTGCAATATATATTTATAAATGGTATAAATAAATAAATAAAAAATATATAATTATAAATGAACTGTAAATTTCTAACTATGTCTGTTAGCTTTTCTTTATAAGTCTTTGATATATTTTTGTAATTTTCAATTCCTCTCCCATCAATTTTGTTCAGTTTATTGCAGATAAATGCAGCTACTAATTTCTGTGATATCTTTTGTAAATCAATTAAAATAGTAATTTATGAATATAAAACAAAAAAAAAATTGTTTATCATTTTTAGAAAAAAGAAATAACTCAAAAACATTCTCACTTCTAGGTCATTGTTATTGCAAAAAAGTTCTTCCAAGTTACACAACTGGTCCAAGAATTCTAAATTAGAAAAATTATTTTCACTGATGTCCAAGTATTTTAAATTTGATAACTCAGCAGCAACTTCGTTTGGAAATGTCTTGAGAGAATTATTTGATAAGTTTAACCTTGTGAGGTTTTTGAACTCTGAAAAGACACCAGAAACCAGGTGCTTCACCATATTTCCACTCAAACTAGAATATTATAAAATTATAAATTAATTAATTTTATGAAACAATTAAATTTAAATTAAAATAAATACACAAATACACAAGAAATGAATTCAAAATTGTTTTATTTATTTATATATAGCTTTTTTTAGTTATTTTAATTTTAATTAAATTTGATTAAAACTATTTAATAATTAAATTAAAAAAACAAAATAAGGTTCACAAGTTATTATTTAATTAATTTATTTATTAATTATTTATTATTCTTTGAATCTATTTTAATTCCAGGTCTATTTAATTTACTAATTTAACTGTCTATTTCTATTTACTTATTTTTTTATTAAACTAAAATTATTAAATATAGATTTAAAAAGTAAAATTTTAAAAATATAAATTAGATTAGAACATTAGTTTATTATTATTTTATTACTCAAGATCTGTCATGGCTAGCAATTTTTTATTCTGGCAGCCGGTTAAATCCTCCAAAACTTTCATCGTCAACGTGATCCCCGACATGATGAACGACGAAACAAATTCAGTCAACGATCCGGCAAATAGTTAAATCAGGGGAAAAAACAACGGGAAGATTTGAACTGGCGCCGCTAAAGGACCGTATTATCGTTAGTGTAAACCATAGTAATAAAATCATTTTATAAACAGGGTTTTTTTTTACGTTCGTTGGCATATATAACATGTTTCTCGGCTTTCCTTCTCAGTGCTTTTTCTTAAGAACTTTTTTTTGCTTTTAAGAACAGAATTTTTTTCTAATGAATCAGCAACAACTCCGAATTTGATGCTAAAAACTTCATTTTTAAGCGATAAGAGGATAAAGAGCATTTCTTGTCGATAATAGTTTCATCCTTCTTGCCTTACCAGACTTAAATCACCAAAAACAAGCTAATAAACAGCCCACCAAAAAAAATTGTATAATACAAATCTAGGTATTTTGAAGGAAATATCAGTTTAATGATCTAGGTTTTAATCAGATTAAATCAACTCAGCAAATAAGACAAAAACACTACGAGAATTTATTACTAATTAATGATAATTTAATACAAACAATGCGAAAACCACAGAGTTTATACATAGCAATAAATTTGAAACGCAAAAAACTGCTAACAACATTGCAGAGGATTAAAAACATTGCAAAAATGTTAGTTTTTACTCAAGTTGAAAAAATTCATCACATAAAAGAAACGTTAGTTCTACTTAGAACATCTAAACTACATAATTCACTGAAACATGTGAAATGAGATACGTAATTTATGTAGCGCAGAAATTTCTACAAATTTGATCACTTATATTAACGAAAAATTATGATTATTAATTTAATACTCATTGAAAAACAAAAACTAATGAATCGAAATTTTAATACAAATTTTTTAATGTAAATAAATGGGACAAAAAAAGACTAGTAGATCAAAAGAAATCATCATCATCACCGTCGTCATCATTAACATCATCATCGTCATTATTCTTATCATCATTATCACCGTCATATCATATCACAAAAGCAATAATAACATTACAATATCCCATTATCATTTTCATAATAATCATTGATGTCATCATCATATCATCATCATCATCATCATCATTATCTATTCATATTATTATGAAACAAAATAGATAAATAGATATAAAATCTAAAAAGCAATTATATAAAACATTATAAAGCATTAAAATTTAGTTGCGCTCAAATGCAAAAATATTGCTATTAACCTTTTAAATTTTCAATTGTAAGGCACGGTTTAGTAAAAATAATTAATAATAACAACAACAACAACAATGATAATAATAAAAATAATAATAAACAAATAATTAAATAGAAAAGAACATCGGAAGCGACGAACTTTTTAGAAATAACTTTAAAAGCAATTAGCAACGGTAATGAATGAAGCCATTCTATAATCAGGCAGCAGAGTGCACGTAGTTGAAAAATAAGAGGAATAGATCGAGGAGGAAAAGGAGATAAGTCAAACAGGAAAACAAAAAAATTTGACAAACAACAAGCGAGCTTAGTAGTAAGAAGAATTGAAAGGCGATGAATGAAAATTTTCTGTTCATAGCATAACAGGATAGCACACAATCCTCTAAAAGTAGAATAAGGTATTGCATGAACGAACGAGTTAATGTTACAACTTCAGAGATAAAATTAGTAAAGACGACTATAAAACTTTAACAAAACAAAAACAACAACAATATAAATACAACAGCTAAAACAGGTTTTAACGATAACTGCACTATACAACATTTCAGTCGTCTGATAATATTAGCATGTCACATACCCTTTACTCAACATAGCAAAAAACCCTGCTTTAGATTAAAAATAAACTTTGATAAGCTTGCAATTGAATCTGGTAACAACGCAATGCATGTACAAAAACAAAAGACCATACAAGGCACTCAAACAAATTGATTCAACTCATAAACTACTAATGACATGAAAAAAGTGGTAGAAAACACAATTTAAATAAATTAAGTTAGTTTTTAATAAAGAAATAAAATAAGCGATAATACATACAAATTAAGAACATATATAATGAAAGAAAAAACTATGATAACAATCAAACAATGCAAACATGATCACATTAATGCAATAACCCTGACTTTCACCACTTTTAAACTCAAAAAATCATAATAATAGCTATAATATACCAATTATAATATTAATTATAATATATCAATTATAATATTAATTAGAATATACACTATTCGATATATCATAGTGATTAAATCTTAAGTGAAGCATATATAACCTGCAATGTTGTAAACTTACAAAATATCTCGTTTCAAACTATATAAAATGAATAAATAAACATAGGCAGACAAAATATAACTAAAAGTATTGTTGTTATACAAATAATATAACACTCACACGCACACACACACACGCACGCACGCACACACATCTATCTACAATGGTGAATCAATAAAATGCAAGTTAGGGTGTAAAACCATAAAGAATGCAAATTTATCTATTGGTATAATTCAAAAAGTACGCGTGTGTGTGTGTGTGTGTGTGTGTGTGTGTGTGTACATGCAGTTCTACATATTTGTTAAGTTTTCTGCTTTTAACAGAAGGCATGAACGTGTAGCCATGGTGAGACGTGGTGGTGGGATGAAGATATAAAAAGGGTTTTGGAGGTCAAGAAGGAGAGGTTTAGGGTATGGAGAAGGAACATGACGGAGGAAGCGGAGTTTGAGTATAGGAAGGCTAAGAAGGTTGCAAAACAGGCAGTGGCAACTGCAATGACGAAAGCATCAGATAGGTTAATGAAGGAAATGGAATTTGATGTGAGTTCGAGGAAAATGTTCAAAGTAGCAAAGCAGTCAATGAGGGATAGGAAAGATGTTATAGGGAATGGATGTGTTTGGGATGGATCTGGCAAGTTGTGCATAGATGAGGAGGAAAAAGCTCAGGTGTGGAAAGCTCATATGGAAAGGTTGATGAATGAAGAGAATGAGTGGGATGGAGATGTGGAATCCGCGGTCACACACGGACCTATAGAGAAGGTGACGATGGAGGAAGTAGAGAAAGCAGTTAGAGAAATGAAACTAGGTAAGGCGACAGGGGTTTCGGAAGTGGCGGTAGAACATATAAAAGCGAGTGGGGTGATAGGAATTGAAGTTATGATGAGAATTGCTAACAGTATGTTTGATAATGAAGGTATACCTGAGGATTGGCGACACAGTGTGTTGGTGCCGTTGTATAAGGGCAAAGGAGATGTGAGAGATTGTGGGTCATATAGGGGTGTGAAATTGCTAGAGCACGGAATGAAGGTAGTGGAGAGGGTGCTTGAGAGGAGGTTGAGAAATATAGTGACAGTTAATGAAATGCAGTGTGGGTTTATGCCTGGTAGGGGAACGGTGGATGCATTGTTCATGGTGAGAATGTTGCAGGAGAATTATAGAAAGAAGAAACGAAGATTGTACATGTGTTTTGTGGATCTAGAAAAGGCTTTTGATCGAGTACCGAGGAAGGTCATTGAATGGGCGTTGAGGAAGAAAGGAGTGAATGAGAGACTTGTTAAAGCTGTAATGCAGCTGTATGAAGGGGCAAAGACAAAGATGAGGGTTGGAAGCGGGATGTCGGACGCTTTTAGTGTTAAGGTAGGAGTGCATCAAGGATCAGTGTTATCACCGTTTCTATTTGCAATTGTGATGGATGTTGTGTGTGGAAACATAATGGAGGGGTTGTTATTTGAGATTTTGTATGCAGATGATTTAGTCTTGATGGCTGATAGCATGGAAGAATTGCAGTTAAAATTTGACAGATGGAAAAGTGTTATTGAAAAGAAAGGGTTAAAAGTTAATATTGGTAAGACGAAGGTAATGGTGAGTGGGGAAGGTGGGGAGCGAGTGATAAGTAAAATAGACCCCTGTGGGGTATGTGACAGGAGAGTGAAGGCTAACTCGGTATTGTGTATAGGATGTCAGAAATGGGTGCATAAGAGATGTAGTGGTGTGAGGGGGGCACTGAAAAAGGTGGAAGGCACGTTCAAATGTAAGAAATGTGTTCATGGTGTGATTAATAGGACGGACGAAAGGACGGGGTTGAGTGATGGTATTGAAAGAGTGGAAAGCTTTGTTTACTTAGGGGATAAGCTGAACGCGGATGGAGGATGTTTGAGCGCAGTTACGGCTAGAGTTCGTGTAGGATGGATGAATTTATGGAACTGGGTGGGGTATTGTGTGGAAAGAAATGGTCAGTGAAGATGAAAGAGAGGGTATATAAAGCATGTGTGAGAGCAGCGATGGTATATGGTGGTGAAACTTGGGTGCTGAAGAGAGAGGAGGAAAGTGTACTGCAGAGGGCTGAAAGAGCTATGGTGAGGATGATGTGTGGGGTTAAAGTGAAGGATAGGAGGAGTAGTACAGAGCTGATGTCAATGATGGGACTGAATGAGGACATTGTGACATTGATAAGGAGATCGAGATTGCGATGGTATGGACATGTGTTGAGAAGGGATGAAAGGGTCGGGATTAGGCGAGCGTTGGAGTTCGAGGTTGAAGGAGTGGTAGGAAGGGGTCGTCCGCGATTGGGATGGAGGGAGCAGGTGGAGAAGGACAGGGTGAAAGCGGGGTTGCGTGATACTGAGGCGAGTGACAGATGTGGATGGCGTAGAGGGGTATTTCGGTTTCATCATAGGTAGCCAAACAGCAACCCCCGATCTCGGGGAAAATGTCGTCTAAACGTGTGTTGTTGTTGTTGTTTCTGCTTTCTACAGAAAAAAGTTTTCCGTTAGGTGTTTCTTTGTAACAAACAAATAAATAATTAGTAAATGGTATCTATCATCTCACTAGGTCAGCCAGAAACACAAGGAGAGAGATTCATGGATAAATACACGTACACATACACATACATATTCCATTCTATTCATCTATGTATTGGTTTATTCATCTATCTATAGTATATACTACATTTTTAAAATATCCTATACTGCCTGCACGACAGATTCACCTAAAACGAAATATTACACAACATGAGAGATGAGAAATAAAAATGATCAAAAATTTGTGACAGCTGTTGTCATAGGTGAAGAGTTCTTCAGCTCTGGTTCTTTTATCTGCATAGAAGACGTAGTTGCAGCTATTGTTGCTGCTTTCGTAGATGCTGAAGTAACTGCAGCAGCTAGAGAGGCAGCTGGAAAAGTTGCTGCCAATGAAGTAACAGCTTTTGAATCATAAACAGGCGTGCAGAGGTAGGTGGTTATTGTGGTGGTTATTGTGGCCTCTGGAATTTTCGGCTGAGCAGTTGAAGGTGTGGAAGCTGAAGAATTGGTAGGTGTTTTTGTCGTCAGAATCTTGCTTTGTTGCTGTGGCTGCCGAAGTTGTTGCCGACGTCGTTGTTGGTAGCTGTTCAGAAATAGTTGCAAAGGAAGATTTTGTTGCTTTTGATTGAGTAGTTGTAAGATTTGTTGTAGTTGAGGAAAGTGTAGTTGCAGTTGTTGTTTTGAGTCTGTCATCTTTTGAGTTGTTGATTGAGTTTGTTGACGACGAACATGCAACAATGTTGCTGTTGCTGGCGTCTACAACAAGGCTTAACTGTTTGTTTCTGTCAAAATAATTAACATTTTCAATTACATGAACATAAGAGAATATAAATTTAACATAAAGACTCAAAATTTATTGCAACAAATTTAAAGCTTGGCCATTCGATTGTTCAGTGTTGAGCGTCTGGCCAAAAGTTTCCAGAAACTCAATTTAAAAAACTTTCCAAGTTCATATTAAACTTTATGGAAAATCATTGACACTACACTGAATGTTTGCAAAATGCTAGAACGACTGAGCAACCTTTTACTGAGGATCGGATTGTTAATCTTCTTGAAAGGCTTCAACATGATTGGTCGATCGGGAGTGCGCATGTTGGTCAGCTGGTAGTCGTATGCCTCGTTCACATCAGTCATTGAGGACTGTTGGTTGGTTGTCATTTGTTGTTGTTCATTATCAGTTGTTGTTGTTGTTGAAAGAAGTATAATGATGTGGAAATGAAAATATGATACAAAGATGAAAGGATTGTGATGAAACTACGACGTCATTGATGGCGAACATTGAAAAGATTGTTGCCAAGTGGTTACATAGATGATGATTATTACAGTATTGCCTAAGTGACTATAAAATGATAACGCAATATGGGAAAGAATACAAACAGTTATATAAAAAAAATGTTGGCCATTTTCAAAGTTTCAAAAATAAGAGATAACGGAGGGGATGCTAATGTATGGATTGAGTATTGATGAACATTCAAAGGTGATGTTAAAACATCACAAAACATGAAACGTAGATGGAGGAGGTTGAGTTGGAAGGCGTCATTCAGGCTTTGGATGAAGCATGCTGCTTACACAAACTAAATTGATACCATCTGAAATTTGAGAGCAATGATCATTACGAGCAAAACAACTGAATAAAAATAATAAATGAACAAGCAAAGAATAGGTTAGTCTTGTAGAAAGGGTTGTTATTATTAAAAAAAACTTTAAATATCAAATGAAAAATCATAGAATGAAATTTGAACCAGAAAACTAAAAACTAAACTAATTATAGATTAAACTCTTAATGAAAAAGCAGAACTGATAAAAAGAATTGTTAAAAATTAACAAATTAAAAAACCAACAAAAAGATATTTAAAAACCAAAAAAGTGTTACTAGATAATGACCACTAATCCAACCTTCTGAAGAATTGAAGGTGAGATTAGATGGATGTTAGCAGGGGGGGTGTTCAACCAGGGGTGCCTCAGGGCCTCCTCAACATTCAACCTCTCAGTTGGATCTACTTGTAATAATCTAAGATGACGATGATAATTACGGTGACAATGATAATAAAGATGAGGAAGAAAGCAAGAATAAAAACAATTTGAGAATGTATTGTGAACAAACAAAAAAAAACATAAACAACAACCTCGAAACAAAATCCTTAGCCTGAGTGGATACGACCGACCAATCATCTTCAGGGAATTCGTACTGGCCAGTTAGTATGCGCTCTTTCATTCGTCGTGAGAGTTGTATCTCGGGTATCTCCGAATAAAATGGTGGATAGCCACAGAGCATGATGTAAACTATGACGCCCAAACTCCACATGTCACAACTCTGATGATGATGATGATTATGACGATGATTATTATGATGATGATGTGGGTTATAAGATGAGATGATGATAAGACAAGATAGTTTACATGAATAATAATAAAAATAATAATAATTACAACAACCCCAGCAAACATAAAAAATAAGCATAGGAAGAAAAACAACAAAGCAACCTTATCATAACAGATAGGTGATAGAGCGGGGTGAAAGCAGGTGCTCTTGACTCTCTGCTTGTTCTTCATAGCCTGGATTACCTAAATCAATTGATTTGGTTGATTAATTGGTTGATTGATTGGTTGATTGATTGGTTGATTGATTGAACGATCACCGATTGACTGATCCTTGATTGATTGATTGATGAATTTTTGATTGATTGGTGGTTAAAGAGTGTTACATACACTCAATCTCTAAGTTCATTCATTTTTTTATTTATTTCTCCCAATCAATCAGTCGGTCAGTTAGTGTCAGCCAGTCAATCACTCACTCACTAACTCACTTACTCACTCACTCACTCACTCGACCAATCAATCAACCTGAGGAGCAGCAAAGTATGGAGTGAAGTTCGGTGTCTTTAGGTTTCCTTCATCCAGTTTGGCAAATCCAAAGTCAGATAATTTAATAATGGCGTCCTAAATAACACAAAAGTAATAATAATAATTTATTATTATTATTATTATTAAAATGCCATACCAGTACCAGGCATTTAAGACATGAATGACTCATAGAAATAAAATATATCATTATAGACAAAAATAAATAATAGATGAATGAATGTATAGATTTATATAAACAATTATATATATATATATATATATATATATATATATATATAAAACTGTATAACATATAATATATATATATATATGATGTGTAAGCGTATGTATGTATGTGTGTGTGCATACGCGTGTATGCATGTAAATTATAAAATGAAAAGAAACTTAAAAGAGAAATGATGATCGTTAACGTTAATGAACTTGTGGGAACATTGATCAAACCAGCGACGACGACGACGATGATGATAATGATGAGAATGATAATGATGATGATGATGAGGATAATGATGATGGTGATAGTGATAAAAAAGTTGTTGACATGTCAATAACAATGATGGCCATAACCATTTCAACAACCACAACAAAAATAATGGCGTCATTCGATGATGATGATAATGATGATGTTATCAGCAATGATAATAAGATAAGTGATGGTAGTAGTAGTAGTAGTAGTAGCAGTAGTAGTAGTAGTAGTAGTAGTAGTAGTAGTAGTAGTAGTAGTAGTAGTGATGGAACAACAAATGGATGATGTCAACTTTGTTAGTAAAATACTGATGATGTGAAATAACATTAATGGTAACGTATGATAATAGCAATGAAGAACATAACAATACAATGAAATGATACAAAAAATATACAAACCTGAGAAATAAAATAACTATAATAATAACAATAACTATAATAATTATGATAATAACTATAATAATAACCTCTGTGTCATTATTTAGGAGTAAATTTTCAGGCTTCAAGTCTCTATGGGCAACATTCAATGAGTGACATCTATGAATGGCTTTCAAAATCTAAAATAAAATATAAAAACAATTTCTTGAAAAACCCAGCAAAGGCAAATTAATTAATCAATTAATTAATTAATTATAGCCTGATCTATGTAAAAGACAAATTTAAAAGTATCATTAAATAACAATTAAGAAGGAATTAATTAGCCTGGCAATTATAACTTATACATATATATACAACTATTTGTATATGTGCAAATTTAATGTTGTTTCACAAAGCAGATGTATATATTAAATGAAAAATATAATATATTACTTTACATTACATTACACATACGCACATATCTATTCAACATTGACCACTTATTTTATTAATTATTATTTAATATTATTAGAATTATTAATTCCTTATAAATATAACAAGATTTATGCCAACACATATGTACATGTCTCTACCTATTGTATAGAGGCCCATTATATTAAGATTCAAATATTGTTTGACAAAGGCTGATATAGCCTGATGACATTTAATAATAACACAATTTTTATTTTATTCTTATATAAACACATACACATAATGACACACATACGCACAACAGACCAACACACACACACACATATAAATAAACAAACAAACACATATCTATACTTCATTTATATATTCATCTTAATTTAAAATGTGTTCATTTATAAACAATACTGATACAAAGTACATGCATATGTAATACAAATAAGCATACATGATTATGTTGTATGTATGTGTATATATGTATGTATGTTTGTGTATGTATGCAAATGCATGTATGTATGTATGTACGTACATCTGTGTGTAATTTTTTATTTATGTAAGTATGTACGTTAATGTTCTTGCTTTGGCTTTTTTATGTATGTATGTGTGTGTATGCAAGAATGCATGTATCTGGCTTGTATTGCAATAAATTAAATCAAAAAGTTAACTCAGTCTGGTAAATGCATCCATCCCAACACATGTTTATCTATCCAACATTCAACTGTCTATCTATTTTTCCATTTATTTAACATACCCATGCTATACTCTTCACTAAACAAATTAATAAACAGGCCATAAATTACATGATCTGTCCATTCTATCTAGACCAATGAAATAATAATTAATCAGAACAAAAATTTAATTTCTATAACCTGAAGGGTATATTTAACGGCCTCCTTCTCTGTGAAATATTTAGATTTTTTGATTTTATCAAATAACTCCCCTCCCTCCATTAGCTCCATGACAACCAGCAGACGGTTTCTGCAGAAGAATAAATTAAATAATATACATATTAATAATGACATTTTTTTTACAATTTAATAATGAAAAAAACTTTCCTTAGCTATAACTTTTTAAAGTTATTTAATTAATTGGAAACTGAGAGCATAGCTTACTCTAAATAAAACAAAACAAAAAAAAAGTAGCCAACCAAAAATATAAAAAGTATGTGAAAAGACTTTGACTAGTTTAATCAAAATTGAATCAAGAAATAATTTCATCTCTCTAACTTGGGGGCACTTTCACATGGGAACTGCAGTTGATTAGAATAGACGTCGTAGATGGACACAATATTTTCATGGCCGTGACATTTGAAATGGAGGGTAACCTCCTGACGAGATCTGGCACTGTCACTAAGACACTTCAAGGCATATAACGATCCGGTCTGTTTACATTTACATTCCCTTTTGTTTAATTAAATTATTAAAGATTTTTAAGAAGAATTTCAGATTTATTTTTATTCTTGATCTAATCTTTAACTAAATTACTAATTGGTAATTAGCCTAATATTGCTAATTCTAACAGCAACTACCTACTATTAGTCTACTAAATGTAAATAAATCTAATCTAAATTCTAAACAAAACACCATTATGTTAGAAATGTGTTTGTTTGTTGTATCTTTCTAATAATTATTAGATTGAGAAATTATTTTGTTAAAACAGAAATCAAATACAAATTAACTCTATTTAAAAAATTTCAATAAAAATTAAAGATTGTTATTAATTTTTCATTGAATTTCCTACCTAACTGGTCCAGTGATTCCACAGCCTAGCTTGCTCTTCCAAGAAACAACATAATCTTCTGTTATTGCTTTTGACTTTATTTAATAAAAAAAAATAAAAAAATAAAACAAATTGTTATTTATAATAAATAATAAAGCAACAAAAACTAAAAAAAGCTACTTTTATCACGAGATTTGATGAATTTGATCTGCTATCTCCAGCGGACATTGTATAATTTAAATGTTAACCTCACCTGCAGAACTTTATTTTCTAGCACTGCACATTTATCGTATCGATCGTATCTATATATTTTAAGGATTATAACATTACATAAAAGATATCATATATCTAAATTAAAAATTACTATATATATATATATATATATATACGTACTACTACACAATACTTGCGTAACCTATGATCTAAACTAATTAAACAATAAATTGCAAGGAAATAGCTCTGCAACACCCAACTGGTTGTTTGAATTGTCGTTTAGTTCTTTTCTGCATATAATTATAATAAATATAACGGCCTTCGCTCATTTTTGACGGTCAAAGAAGGAGCTTACTTCCGGAGGAAATTGGAGGGTGATTTTTTATCGCCTAAGTCAAAAGTTACGATCGTATATTTACTAATTTCGGAAAATTGCTTTTATTTAAAATTTTAAAACGTTTTAAAAGGTACTAGATGCTGTTTTAGGATAGATATTGCTGTATGACGGTTAAGTATCTTTTTGCATTTTAAATAAAAAAAATTTTTTGTGAACCACCAACAACACTTAACTCATTAACTGTAACAACACTAAACGACGACTAATTAGTAATTAAATTACTAAACTCTAATAATTAAGCGAAAACTAAACTCTACTGATTCTAATTACTAATTGAAATAAATAACAGATAACACTAACGAATGTTAACAGATTAGACTACTAGAAACTACCAACCACTTAATGACTAACAGCACTTGTTCCTAAGATCCTAAATTCTATTGCTTGATTGGTTTTAAAATTTTTATTTACAATGCTTAGGTCTGGGAATAAAAAATATACTAAATTAAATAAATATATTAAACAACTTATTAATCAATTTCATAAAATAAACAATTTTGTAATTTGTTCAATTCAAGCTTCAAACTCCCCAAGCTAACTTGCAATTTAATTAAAATTTATTAATTATGAGTGATTCAAACTAAATTTTTTTTCATTTAAATTTTTTTTCATTTAATGTTTTACGAAATATTCCTCATTCTTAAATTGTAGTACATGTTGTTATTAAATTTATTAAAGATAATGTGTGATTCCAGTGATTCATCAATCCATGACTTGTTAGATCATGATCATTCAGTTTTAAAGAATCCCCATCACCATAACCAATGAGGTTTGTAAAAATTGTACTTTTAATTTATTATATTTTATGCACTTATAATGTTGTGTTATTAATTATTATCATTAATTTATTAAATGCTGTGCATACCTATGGCAAGTAAATAAAATAATTAAGCATAGAAATAGCCACAATCAAATTAATTTATATAGGCATGAGTATAATTTGGATAATAATAATTAAAAATATCGGTATCATTGAAAATGGATAAAGTCATAAATAAAAAAATAAATCATAAATTGCTAAAAATAATAGTTCCAGTAAGATTTGCCTA